CCCCCTCCCTCCCTTCCTCTGTCTCTCCCTCCCTCTCTCCCTCCCTCTCTGCCCCCTCCCTCTCCCTCCTTTCCTCCCTCTCTCTCTCTCTCTCTCTCCCTCTCACACACAGAAACATCAAATGCCCCCTTTTTAAGCACCCAGAACCCCCTCATACACTTCCTCATCAGTTTGAAACTCAAGCCCACATTAAAAAAAACTGTAGCGCAATTCCTAAAATAAGAATCTGCAGGATCGGAGCAGCCTGGAAACCGGATTAAGTAAATCATAAAATAGATTTGGGTTAATGAAAGCCCACCGCAAGAGACATTCAAGCTCCCTCCGAAAGGCAGGAAAAATGCATAAGAGGGTTATTTTGTCCCCATTTGTGACCTGGCCTTTAGGCATTAAAAAGAAATAAATATATATTTTTTTAAAAAAAATAATTAAATAAAAAAATAAGAATAAACAAATTAAAAATAAAACAAAAAGCAATAATAATAAAATAAAAATAAATAATTGAAATAAATAAACAAACAGACAAACAAACAAATAAATAAAAAAACAAAAACAAGCAGAAACTCAAAGGACAAACTCAGTGGACCCTTGGTTCTTTTTCTGCCGTCAGATTTCTATCTTTCTTGCCCACCTACCCCTTACAAACCTCTTCCCCACTCCCCACCCCATTTAATTGTGGTTGCCAGTGTCCCAGCAGACACACACACACACACACACACACACACACACACACACACACACACACAGCTCAGGATAAGGAAAGCTTCGCTTCCTACAGAAATTTTGAGGTGAGAATTTCCGGCTCCAAATAATCTTGGTCGAACAAAGTCTCAGGAGTGCAAAAACTTTTCTTTCTTTCTTTCTTTCTTTCTTTCTTTCTTTCTTTCTTTCTTTCTTTCTTTCTTTCTTTCTTTCTTTCTTTCTTTCTTATCTTTCTTTTAAAAAACACCCAGGTGGAAAAAATTAAGAGTGTTTTTTGTTTTTTTATTAAAGAACGGATTTCAGATTTGATCTGGGACCCAAAGCTGCGAGGCAGATTCTTGTGTGAAACGCATTTGAATTGTGCAGTTTCAAATTGCGGTTGTCCTATCGGTTGCGTAGTTAGCCAAGAAGAACGAGCCGTGGGGAAATGAGCTTCTGTATTTCCCCGCCTCTCTCCTCTCCAAAAAAAACATAAAATCCTGGATTTCTCCAAGTTTAAAAGAAGGGCTAAGAGGGTGGAAAGGCTGAGAACACAGAACTCGAATCCGAGGGACCTGGGAGGTCATCTAGTCCAACCCCCTGCTCAAGACAGGAGACCTTATCCCATCCTGGTCAAATGGTTATCCAGTCTATTTTTCAAACTCTCCAGAGATAAAAAATGACAGAGAAAGAAATGGAAAGAGTAGAGAAGTTAAAAATTAAGAATCTGTTGGAAGTTCATCTCCTAAACAGCAAAACAACCTAGATGGAGGGGGGGGGGGAATCTCGGTTGCAGGAATTACAGATGTCTAGTTTAATGAAGAGAAGGAATAGTGGTGACATGATAGCAGTCTTCCAACATCTCAGGGGCTGCCCCAAAGAAGAGGGAGTCAAGCTATTCTCCAAAGCGCCTGAAGGCAGGACAAGAAGCAACGGATGGAAACTGATCAAGGAGAGAAGCAACCTGGAACCAAGGAGAAATTTCCTGGCACTGAGAACAATTAATAAGTGGAACAACTTGCTGCCTCCTCCTCCTCCTCCTCCTCCTCCTCCATTTTAAGAAGAGATTGGACAGCCATTTGTCTGGAATGGTATAGGGTCTCCTGCTTGAGCAGGGGGTCAGACTAGAAGACCTCCAAGGTCCCTTCCAACTGTGTTCTCCTCCTCCTTCTCCTCCTCCATTTTAAGAAGAGACTGGACAGCCATTTGTCTGGAATGGTATAGGGTCTCCTGCTTGAGCAGGGGGTCAGACTAGAAGACCTCCAAGGTCCCTTCCAACTGTGTTCTCCTCCTCCTCCTCTGCCTCCATTTTAAGAAGAGATTGGACAGCCATTTGTCTGGAATGGTATAGGGTCTTCTACTTGAGCAGGGGGTTGGACTAGAAGACCTCCAAGGTCCCTTCCAACTGTGTTCTCCTCCTCCTCCTCTGCCTCCATTTTAAGAAGAGATTGGACAGCCATTTGTCTGGAATGGTATAGGGTCTCCTGCTTGAGCAGGGGGTTGGACTAGAAGACCTCCAAGGTCCCTTCCAACTGTGTTCTCCTCCTCCTCCTCTGCCTCCATTTTAAGAAGAGATTGGACAGCCATTTGTCTGGAATGGTATAGGGTCTCCTGCTTGAGCAGGGGGTCGGACTAGAAGACCTTCCAAGGTCCTTTCCAACTCTTGTTGTTCTGTTATTGCCAATTATTCCCAGATATTCCCACATGGTTAAATTATTATCAACGAGAGCGGACATTTTCTTCCCTCTTACAGTTCCCGAGATTATATTTATCTCCGGGCACGGAGAAAAACCCCCTGGTGTGTGAATGCCACGATTTCCCCTTTTACGTGGGATGGGGACTTCTTAATTTCCTACGGGAATTGTAGCGTTTCCTTTCATTGTCCTGGATTTTCGGGACGGCCGACAGTCCCGCTCAGCCCTTTTTTTTGGCTGCAAAGGCAGCCCTGCCGAGCTTCTCATAAATATTTTCATAAGGTCTTTAGATCTTCTGCAGAAGGGTTTGGCGAACGTTTTTTTCCTGACGCGGCCCTGGGCCAGCTCTCCCCACAACAGCTGACTTTGCGGCCCCCCCTGCCCCCCCTTTCCCCTCCGTCTAAATCACATCCGAAACGGCATCCTTCTGGGTGTTTGATCTGCAGGCATCCGATAACTGCTTTATTAGACCACAAAGCCACAAAATATATCTTATGGGAGCCTCGGTTTATTTATCTTCAAGGTCGACCCACCCTTCCGTCCGTGAGGGATTGTGAGCGTCTCGCTCGTTCCCAGGTTCCAAAAGTGCAAAAATCGTAGCTACAGGGGCAGTAATAGTGAATCCAGCAAAAAAAAAGAGAGAAAAAGAGGGGGAAAAAATAGGGTGGGTGGGAAATAAAATCCCATAATGGACAAGCTTTTCTCTGCGAAAGGACCGATTCCGTCTTCCAAACGGCTAGGCCCTTGCAGAAGCAGCTAAGTTTTAATGCTAAAAAAGAAAGGGGCAGTTGATCTTCAGGTTGGGGTGTGCTGGGGACCCTAACTCTGATCCCCCCGTTTCTGCAATTATATACACCCCATGTTTTATATGGGGTATTTTAGAGCAGGCTTTTTATTCAATATTTATTGTGATTTTTATTATTGCCTGTTCACCGTCCTGAGTCCCGTAAGGGAGATAGGGCGGTATATAAATTTAAATAATAAATAAATAATAAATAAATAAATGTCCCATCTCGTCTGCAAGGGGACCCCAGAAAGAAATGGGAAAAATCCATCGGGTCAAGCTCTGTGCCTAAAAGTTTTTTGATATTTCCATCTGACACCTGAAGTTGGGGGATATCCTTTTGATATCAACCATCCTGGGTCTCTTCGCCTATCGTCTCTTCTCGATAAGCCACGATTGAGGTAACTATGGGTTGTTAGACACCACTGTGGTGCCAAGCTATTAAGCTACGCTGAGCAAGACAAGCTGGGCTGTCAAACGCCACCATCACGCCAAGCCACGAACAAGCCATCTTAACGGCTTGGTGCGTTGTGTGAGCTTTGACACAACTTTGTTTCCTCCAGCGCTTCCTGGCGTTTGCCTCAGCTTAAAAACTTGCGCATGCCACGCCTCCGGTTTTCTTAGAAACTAGAGTTGTTTGTGTTACGTTTTTCTGCTTACTTGTGCGGGGATTTTATAGGGGTTTTAATTACTTTTAAATTTGACATTCTCAAATATTTCATTTTAATCAAATTTTAACTAGGTGTAATATGTTAGCTTTTTATCATTTGTCAGCCGCCCTGAGTCCGAAAGGAGAAGGGCGGGATATAAATACAATTAATAAATAAATAAATAAATAATAAATAAAAACCATGACAGAGCCAGGATGGTGTTATCTTGGTCTGTGAAATAGCCATGGTTTCTGGGGCTCCTTTGAGGAGGAGAGATAGATTGGGGGACCCCCAGACCAGAGAGAGAGAGAGAGAGAGGACCAGGCCAATATTACAAATCATAATTTTGGGGAATTGGAGGGTCAAAGCCCAGTTAAATGGGACTAGAATCCTAAAATGGGGACACACACAATCTGGATTGTTAAGGAAAGGAATCAAAAACAGGGACTCCGAAAAACAACACATTGGGATCCAGGACTTCTCAAAATGTATCTTTTCTATTAAATTTTTGCCTTCGCTACCCCTTCTAGCCAAAGCTATGTCGTCTAAATTAATTCTTTAATCCGGTGTTTCTCAATCTTGACAACTGTAAGACGGGTGGACTTAAAGTTCATCTTAAAGTTGTCAAGATTGAGAAACACCACTTTAATCTTCTTTGCCTCCATTCTTCCCTCTTCTCGTGTCCAACTAGGGATCGTCAACCGTGTAGGAAAAAGGTCCTCTTTCAGTCCTTCTCCATAAATCCAGTGGTGCTGTAGAAAACCCACTGAGAACACACGATGGATCCCGAGATCATCCTGACCTGTCTGCAAAATCCTCTGCTCTCCCGTTGATCAATCCTCCCCAAGCAACGAAGTGTCAATGGGCCAAAATAGAAGCAAAACAGGTCTCTTTCTAAGAACTTTGCAAGGGTAGAGAAGAGCAACAAAGATGGTTAGGAGACTGGAGGCTAAAACATACGAGGAATGGTTGCTGGAATTGGGGATGTCTAGTTTAATGAAGAGAAGGACAAGGGGGGACAGGATAGCAGTCTTCCAGTATCTCAGGGGCTGCCCCAAAGAAGAGAGAGTCAAGCTATTCTCCAAAGCACCTGAAGACAGGACAAGAAGCAACGGATGGAAACTAATCAAGGAGAGAAGCAACCTGGAACTAAGGAGAAACTTCCTGACAGTGAGAACAATTAATTGTTGGAAAGACTTGCCTCCAGAAGTTGTGGGTGCTCCAACCCTGGAGGTTTTTATGAAGAGACTGGACAGCCATTTGTCTGAAATGGACTAGGCTTTCCTGCTTGAGCGGGGGGCTGGACTAGAAGACCTCCAAGGTCCCTTCCAACTCTGTTATTCTGCTCTGTTCTCCAGGGTGGAGAGGACCATGGGTATATCTCTATCTCTATCTATCTATCTGTCTGTCTGTCTGTCTGTCTCTATCTATCTATCTGTCTGTCTGTCTGTCTGTCTGTCTGTCTATCTCTATCTCTATCTCTATCTCTATCTCTATCTTTATATTTATATTTATATCTATCTATCTATCTATCTATCTATCTCTATCTCTTTCTCTATATCTATATCTATATATCTATCTATATATATATATCTATATCTATCTATCTATCTCTATCTCTATCTCTATCTATCTGTCTGTCTGTCTGTCTGTCTGTCTGTCTGTCTGTCTTTCTGTCTGTCTGTCTGTCTATCTATCTATCTATCTATCTATCTATCTATCTATCTATCTATATCTATATCTATATCTATATCTATATCTATCTATCTATCTATCTCTATATATCTAATCTATATCTATATCTATATCTATATCTATATCTATATCTATATCTATATCTATATCTATATCTATATCTATATCTATATCTATCTATATCTATACATATATATGAGTTTTAAAGACTCTTCCTTCTTGCAGTGATAATATTCTAGGAGACCAGCTGAAGGAACCAACGTTCTCCAGTCACCTAGTAGAATTGGGGGTCTCCAGGCTAGAAAAAAGGCAACAAAAGGGTCTTCTCCATCCTTACCTTGAGCACTCTCAGAGCTTGCCCGGCACGTGGTCCTGGTGGGGTGAGGGCCACCTGGGCACAATGGCTTGTTGGCAAGTGCATGGCGCTGTACGGGTGGCGTGCGACCCCTCGCCCAGCCTGCCCTCCTCGAGGTTCTTCCTTGACCGCAATCGATCGTGGGTCAAAGGGGGGCAGGCCCTTGCGTTCCCCTCCGAAAGAGAGGAAGGGGTACGGGTCAGTGGGGAAGTAGTTTGGGAAGGAGGCCCCCTTGGGCAACCTCTGTTGGTTCCCTTGAAGCAACTCGGAGAGTAACTGCTCATCCCCAATGTAGGAGGCCAGCTCCGATTCGCACAAGGGGGCCAATTCGGTGGTGGTTGACCTCGCTGGAGCCATCTCCAGAGCTTGGTAGTGCCTCTCGCCCTCAAAGTAGCCTCCTTGGGACATGGTAGAAGACCCAACGCCAGTCCTTCTTTCTCCCCGACCTTCCGACGGCTCCAACCCACGTCTTTACGGGCACCTTGTCTCGAAAGGTCTTCTTCTCGATGTCTACCTCCTTTGTAGACGCGGTTATTTCTCTTTCTTTCTCTCCTGGGTTGTCTTCTTCTGGTTTGCCTCTGGACTTGGGTGGGTGGGATTGTCTCGTCTTTGTTCTCGCCTCGGGGAGTCGCCGACTCTCAGGATGTCCAAGTGGTTTTTGGGTCTTCTTCTCCCTGTCTCTGCTGAATTCCTGTCCTCTTTTGCTCTACCTATCTGGCCTTGGTTCCCTCTTTTTTCTCTACCCTGTTCCTCTGCATGCCTGCCCCTTCCTTCCTCTTTCTACGCGGCACCCCAGCTCTGCTCGTAACAGAGACCGCTTCACCCAGCTACAACTCCTTCACAACCTGGTCCAAACCCGGAGGTCCTCCTCTTCTCAACCCATCCTGCAAGGAACGTCCTAAGTATCTTCACTGTCATGGCTGCTCCTCTACGGCTAAGAGGCCCCTTCTGGCTTCCTACGCTCACCCAACTGACCCCTGTCAGAATCCAGGCCAAGACTTTTGTCCCCTTCTTAACAATCGCTCGCCAGCACACTGGTAACTTGCAGGTTCCCCTTTGTGAGGAGACCTCGAGATATTTCTCAATCCCTTTTCGGTCCTACCTTGGCGCGTTGCGATCTCCACATCCAGCCGCAGTGCACAGTTTGCAAGACTTGAAAAGGGCCTTCTTAGAAGCGGAACCAGAACGGGGCCTACCTCAACATATTGTCTGTTTTCGTTGTCGTCCAAATGGCTTACAAATTCTCATTTTTGTCCAGAAAGAGAGAGGTGCTTATTTTTGATTTTTTTTTTTTTTTTAAAAATCAGGCCTGCTGTAACTATCTTGGTTTTCTCTTAAATTAAGAGCCCAAAGGACTAGGGGTGACATGATAGCAGTGTTCCAATATCTCAGGGGCTGCCCCAAAGAAGAGGGAGTCAAGCTATTCTCCAAAGCACCTGAAGGTAGGACAAGAAGCAACGGATGGAAACTAATCAAGGAGAGAAGCAACCTAGAACTAAGGAGAAACTTCCTGACAGTGAGAACAATTAACCAGGGGAACAATCTGCCTCCAGAAACGGTGAATGCTCCAACCCTGGAAGTTTTTAAGAAGAGATTGGACAGCCATTTGTCTGAAGCTTTCCTGCCTGAGCGGGGGGTTGGACTAGAAGACCTCCAAGGTCCCTTCCAACTCTGTTATTCTATTCTATTCTATTCTATTCTATTCTATTCTATTCTATTCTATTCTATTCTATTCTATTCCTTATTCTATTCTATTTCTCTATTCTATTCTATTCTATTCTATTCTATTCTATTCTATTCTATTCTATTCTATTCTATTCCTTATTCTATTCTATTCTATTCTATTCTATTCTATTCTATTCCATATTCTATTCTATTTCTCTATTCTATTCTATTCTATTCTATTCCTTATTCTATTCTATTCTATTCTATTCTATTCTATTCTATTCTATTCCTTATTCTATTCTATTCTATTCCATATTCTATTCTATTTCTCTATTCTATTCTATTCTATTCTATTCTATTCTAATTAGCCTTTTCCTGGAAAAGGTGGGTATTTAGACCCAAATCCCAGAAGGTAGCAAAAGACTGGAGGAGGTGCAGCATTCAAATATTCGCCTTCATTCATGAGAATTAAAACATACCAGCATTTTTCAGCTTCGACAATGTTAAGATGGCTGGACTTCAACTCCCAGAATTCCTCAGCCAGCCCATGTGCTTGTCCCCCCATCTTAACATTGCCAAGGTTGAAAAAAAAATCTGTAATACACAGGTGCAGACTGCAAAATCGTGGAGGCATTCAAGCCTCTTGCACCCATATTGAGAAAAAACAGAAGATAGGCAAAAAAAAATCTAACCATTTAATTTCTATTTCTAGGTTTAGTTTTTAACCATTTATTTAACCATGCTTGCTTAGCTCCACGCATTTGACAGAAGTATAATGTGTTGCCTGTTGTGGGCATGCCCACGCTTGTGGCTGGTAAATCATGGCTGTTGTGTGTGGTTTACTCAACAAATCCTGATTAAATGGTGGTTTAAGAGGAGATGGGTGAATAAAGTACCTTTCCATCCCTGTAGAGGGCGCCACAAAGCCAAAAAAAACCACAGTTGCACACATCTTTTCCTGCCCCATAAGGCAAAAAGGAACCTGCTGGAGAAAAGTAAGTCCTTGACTTACGACCGCAATTGAGCCCAAAGTTTCCTTTCCTAAGGGACACGGTCGTTAAGTGAATTTGGCCCCATTTTACAACCTTTCTCGCCCCAGTGGCTAGCTGCATCCCCTGCAGTCGTTAAATTAGGAACACGGTTGCTAAGTGGAATCCGACTTTCCCCTCCCCATCGACTTTGCTTGTCAGAAGGTCGCAAAAAGGGATCGCAGGACACACCCACCCCCGGGGACACTGCGACCGTCATAAATACGAGTCAGTTGCCAAGCAGCCGGATTTTGGATCACGTGACCACGGGGATGCTGCGAGGGTCGTTAAGTGTGAAAACTGTTCATAAGTCGCTTTTTTTCAGAGCCGTTGTAACTCGGAACGGTCACTAAATGGATCGTTGTAACTCGAGGACCACCTGTATTTCAGACGTGGGCAAGCTCAGACTTTTACCTTCTGATTGAGGGGTTTTGGAGGTCTTTTTTGGTCCTTCAAGAGATGGCAACAACCTTGTCTGAATGCTCCCTAGAAAAATTTGTGGTTGGTGGTGTGAAGAGTGTCCATGGAGATTCTCCATCATCCAGGTCAGGGGTAGGCAACCTTGGCTCGTTTATGACTCGTGGACTTCAACTCCCAGAATTCCAGAGCCAGCATGGCTCAGCTTGGAAACCTCTCCCTTTCCCCTCAGCATGGCTGGCTCAGGAATTCTGGGAGTTGAAGTCCACCAGTCATAAAAGGGCCAAGTTTCAAGTCCCCTGCTTATGGACTTCTACTCCCAGAATTCCTCAGCCAGGCACGCTGGCTCAGGAATTCTGGGAGTTGAAGTCCACGAGTTATAAAAGAGCCAAGGTTGCCTACCCCTGTTCTAGCCGATGCCATGCCTTAGATTGAAGGAGACAAAGCCATCAGCCAGGATCTGCAAGCCGTTGTGTATTTGTGGCTTACTTTGTATTTTGGGTTCCAGCTGTCACGGACATAGTTGAAGGCCCTTGGTGGGACAGGTGTTTGCTGAGCCCGGCTCCCCCCCCCCAAATCCATAGTTTCAGGCCTTCTGCTATTTTGTTTTTTTTCCAAAGTAAAAGAAAAATTAATACCACTTTACAAGGCCTGGGTAAGGCCACACTTGGAATACGGCATCCAGTTTTGATCACCACAATGTAAAAAAGTTGTTGACACTCTAGAAAAAAAAGAGTGCAGAGAAGAGCAACAAAGATGATCAGGGGACTGCAGGATAAAATATAAAAAAAAGAGTTGCTGGAATTGGGGATGTCTAGTTCAGGGGTAGGCAACCTTGGCTCTTTTATGACTCGTGGACTTCAACTCCCAGAATTCCTGAGCCAGCATGGCTCAGCTTGGAAACCTCTCCCTTTCCCCTCAGCATGGCTGGCTCAGGAATTCTGGGAGTTGAAGTCCACGAGTCATAAAAGAGCCAAGGTGGCCTACCCCTGGCCTAAACCATTCAGAATAACAGAATAACAGAGCTGGAAGGGACCTTGGAGGTCTTCTAGTCCACCCCCTGCTCAAGCAGGAGTCCCTAGACCAGGGGTAGGCAACCTTGGCTCTTTTATGACTCGTGGACTTCAACTCCCAGAATTCCTAAGCCACCATGGTTCAGCTTGGAAACCTCTCCTTTTTTCCCTCAGCGTGGCTGGGTGAGGAATTCTGGGAGTTGAAGTCCACGAGTCATAAAAGAGCCAAGATTGCCTACCCCTGATCCAGCTCATGGTTGTCCCAAAGGTGTTTTTTTTTTCAGGAGGCAACTGAACTTTCTTGTTTCTCTTTGAAGACGTTTTGCTTCTCATCCCAGAAGCTTCTTCCGTTCTGGCTGAATGGTGGGGAACGGAAGAATTTATATTCCTTGTTGGGCCAAGAAGGCTCCACGCCAAGTGACTTCAAGAACATCCACAAACCATTTCCCGGGCCAAGCTTTTCACCTTCTTGAACCATTAAAATTGTGCTAGTCGCTACAGGTGGTCCTCAACGTACGACCGAAATTTCTGTTGCTCGGCCAGACGTTCGTTCAGGGAGTTTTGCTCCCTTTTATGACCTTCCCTGCCACCGTTGTTCGGTGAACCACACTGCAGTTGTTAAGTGAGTAACACGGTGGTTAAGTGAATCTGGCTTCCCTATTGACTTTGCTGGCCTCTGTTTCTCCTTCTGTCCTCGCCACTTTTTACAGAGGTACAATTGAGAACCTTTTAACAAATTGCATCTCTGTCTGGTCTGGGGGTAGCAGAGCCTCAGATAGAAGGTCCACGCAGAAAGTGGTGAGGACAGCTGCAAAGATTATAAGAAGCTCACTTTTCTGTTATTCAGGATCCTGCTTACAAGCGCTCATATGTGCTTAGAACTCGGAGCATTGTTAGAGACCCCACTCACCCCCCACTCCACGGTCTGTTTCTGTTGCTCCTCTCTAGGAGGAGGTTTCGAAGTATTTATAGCAGGACGACAAGATTCTGCAACAGCTTTGCTCCTTACACTATTCGTCCTGTAAATTCGCAGGTTTTTTTCTCGCCACGTATATGTATACATCCGAACAAGACTGGTGTGTGTGTGTGTGTGTGTGTGTGTGTGTTTATATATATAATCTTTTGTCATGTTTATGTAGTGTATATTGGAGGTGGTTGCCCTTGGAGGGCTGAATGCAACGAAACTTCATTTTAATGTATGCTGATTAGTGGACATTTAAAGCGACTATAAAGTTATTCTGTTCTATTCCATTCCATATTTTCTCTTCTCTTCTCTTCTCTTCTCTTCTAATCTCTTCTCTTCTATTCCATTCTATTCCTTATTTCTATTCTATTCTATTCTATTCTATTCTATTCTATTCTATTCTATTCTATTCTATTCTATTCTATTCTATTCCATTCCATTCCATTCCATTCCATTCCATTCCATTCCTTATTTCTATTCTATTCTATTCTACTCTATTCTGTTCTATTTTATTCCATTCTATGGTCAGAAGGTCACAAAAGGGATCAAGTGACTCCATCATAAATAGAGCCAGTAGCCAAGCGCCCGAATGTTGATGCTGCAATGGTTGTTAGTGTGAACAACGATCATAAGTCACTGTTTTCAGCGCCATTGTAACTTTGAATGGTCACTAAATGAATGGCTGTAAGTTGAACACTCTCTGTACTGTTTTGTTCCCCCTGCCAAGCCTGCAATTCTGGGATTTTTTGAAGGTCTCCCTTCCAGCTGTCAGCCAGCCCTAATCCTGTTTAGCTCTCCTCAGAGCCAGCTCAGTGCTGCCCCCTGCTGTCAAGAAAGACAGAGCTGAATTCATGATACCTCAGGGTGGGAGGTGAAGGTGCTTTGCCCACTCCCCAAAATGTAAGCCCTGCACAGAGGCTGCCCTTTCCCAAAGACCCCCCCCCATAAGCCCCCTTGATTCTCACACACACCCCAGTGTGCTGAGTCAAAGTGCCTGCTCCATCCTACAAAACTGGTCATCTCCTGGTGGTCTCCTTTTCAAATTCCAACCACGCTCCACTTGACTTCCAGTCCAGCGAGCTGAATAAAATTGAATCAAACTCGAGTTCTGGGGTTTTTCAGAGATGGAGCCCAATGGCTCAAGATGGTCGCCCGCTTGAGAACCGAAGTATTTAATTAACCCTTTCTGGCTACTAGTTGGGGAACTAATCCATTCGATTTACTATTTCTCGCCAAATTCTCTCTCTCTCCCCCCCCCCCAGCTCTCTCTCAGATATTCTAACAGTGTTTCTTAACCTTGTCAGCTTTTAAGATAGATGGAGCTCAACTTTCAAAAGGAAACTTAAATGAAACATATGCTCCCAGTTTCTTCCCCAGTCCCTTCACTCTGCTGAACCTCTAATTTTCACAGCTGACAAAATACAATAACTACTAAGTTATTTTTGCCTAATGTGTATTCATATTAACCCTTAGGGTGTGGCTGCAGTATTATTATTATTGTTATTATTATTATTACTCTTTTATTACTTTATACTTCCCCATTTTATAGCCTGTACACATTATTATTATTAATAGTAATAATATTCTTTTATTACTTTATATTTCCCCATTTTATTGCCCGTACACATTATTAATAATAATAATAGTAATAATAATAGTAATAATAATACTTTTATTACTTTATATTTCCCCATTTTATTGCCCGTACACATTATTATTAATAATACTGTCTTTTATTATTTTATACTTCCCCATTTTATTGCCTGTATACATTATTATTATTGTTGTTGTTGTTGTTGTTAATAATAGTAATAATACTCTTTTATTGCTTTATACTTCCCCATTTTATTGCCTGTACACATTATTATTATTATTAATAATAATAATAATAATACTGTCTTGTATTACTTTATACCTCCCTATTTTATTGCCTGAATACTTTATTATTATTATTAATAATAATAGTAATAATAATACTGTCTTTTATTACTTTATACTTCCCCATATTGCCTGTACACATTATTATTATTAATAATATTAATATTATTAATATTACTGTCTTTTATTACTTTATACTTCCCCATTTTATTGCCTGTATACATTATTATTAATAATATTAATATTATTAATATTACTATCTTTTATTACTTTATACTTCCCCATTTTATTGCCTGTATACATCATCATCATCAATAATAATAATAATAATAATAATAATAATAATAATAATAATAATAATAATAATAATAATAATATTGTTTTCTGTTGTTTGCTAGTACTCCAGTACCAGAGTACAATTCCTTGTGTGTCTAACCACACTTGGCCGAATAAAAACAAAATATAATTCCTCAACCATCCTTGTGTTTCTCAGCTATGGCAACTTTCTGGAGGGTGGACTTCAGTTCCCAGAATTCCCCAGCCAGCCTTGCATTTCTCAACCATAACAACTTTCTGATGGGTGGGCTTCAATTCCCAGAATTCCCCAGCCAGCCTGGCTTTTCTCGGCTGTGGCAACTTTCTGCTGGGTGGGCTTCAATTCCCAGAATTCCCCAGCCAGCCATGCTGGCTGGGGAATTCTGGGAGTTGAAGTCCACCCATTTTAAAGCGCTTAAGGTTGAGAAACACTGTTCTAACCTAACCCCCACTCCCGTCTATTTAAAAAAAAAAAACGCAGCACAAAATCCTGTTATTTTCCTCTCCGCTTCCATGGCACCATCGCAGCTTGCCTGCTGCATCGTTGCCAAGCTGGCACGGCGCCCGCGAAGCCACGGTTTCTCAATCCTGGCTGACTCATCCCGATGGGAACGTGGGCCGCCCCCAGGGGGGGGGACAGGCGCTTAGCTAGATGAGTTGCTGTTTCATCAGCAAAGAAACCCAGCCAGGAAGCCATCCGGATGGCGAGTGGCGTTTAATTTACGACATCCAAAACAAAATGGAAAACAAAAGGAGAGAGAGAGAGAGAGAGAAAATGAGGAAACCTGGAATATACGAGGGCACCGATTGCAGGAGCGGATGCTCGCGGGACAGCTGAGGTTCCGCCACCACCCCTTAAAATATCCCCATCCCCAAAATATAAGGCAGCAACAAAAGACGCTTTTCCAAAGTGTGGGGCGAGAGGCAGGAATTGGGGCTCCAGCTCTTAAGGGTTGCCCCATCCGTCTCTGCCCCAGTGGGAGGCACTGCAGGTGAGGATTGGAGGGTGGGGGGTGGACCCCAGACCCTGCAAGAAGCTGGGGAAAGGAGTGTGTGCATTTGGGGAGGGGTGTGTCGTCCCCCAACGGGTCCAGCTCCGCCCAACGGTGGGCAGGCGGAACCGTTTCTAGTGGCTAAAAACCAGTGCAGTCCATGTTTGGCTGTTCCTTCCGTCTGCTCAATTCTGGGACGTGGCCAGCGTCTCTTTTCCGCACATGGGCTCCAGCTGTTCTTTGGTCTCTTTGCTGAGGTCGTTCTCGACCTCCCCGGCGTCCATCTTGGGGTACACGACCACGCAGAGCTTCTGTCCCACCCGAGTGATTCCATCTGGAAGGGAAAAAAACAAACGGATTGGGCAAAGAGAACAAGAGCTGGGTGGTTTTCTTGCAGACGTTTCACTACCCAACTGGGGAACGTCATCAGTGCTAGAAGGGAGGGAGGTTTGTGGAGTGGAGGAGGAGGAAGAGGAAGAGGAAGAGGAAGAGGAAGA